GAGCCCCCCCCCCCTTCCCTTGATGACCAGTCAGCTGCACTGCACATGTGCGACCACTGTTCCCACGCTGCTTGTCCACAAAGCCATGCAGCCAGACGTGGGAAGGCAGCACAGAGTGCAGTGGCAGAGTAGTGGCACGGCCACAGTGTGCAAACCCCCATCCATCCGGCTCACATGCGTGCAGCCCGTAGAGGGGCACGCCTGCCCTCACCCTCCAGCCCTGCTCCTGGGAGGGGGCATGCTCCCTGGCCTCCCCAGTACCTTCCCTTTCCCCACCCTGCCCGCTCCTTCCCCCCAACACACACTTGCCTGCTGGGGTGGATGTCAATGCCTATGCCTGTGTATGTGTGGTTGGGGGGCTGCTGTGGGGGAGTGAGGGGCATCAGGCTGGTTGCGGAAGCTGTGGGGTAGGAAGTGAGGGACACCAGCAGTGCTGGGGGGTGGAGGGGCTGTGGGGGCCTTTAATTTTTATCATGGATTTGAGGGGTTTAAAATCAGAGAACTTGCATTTTTTAAATCTGAGAAAACCAGGATCCCTGGTCATTATCTATAACTAGCCTCTCTTCCTCCGAAGTGTTGTACCAGTGAAGCATTTTTACCTTAGCAGCCAGTGTAAAGTGTAAAGATATATATATAACTCTATCCTAAGGGACATAAAGTTACGGATCTTAAAAATTACAGCATTTTTTGAATACACAAACTGTTATCAAACTAGCTGAGGCAGTGAATTCCAGACCCACTTGAGAAATCACAGCTCTTACCTGGAGTACATATTCCCGTGCACGTTCAACATCTCCTGGCAAACTGAATCTCCTCATTATCATAGCATTAATTTCTGGAAACTAAGCAAAGAACATAGGTAGCTGGCATCTCTTCCATGTATAGTTTTCTCTTCACTATTTCACTAGTTACAACTACATTAATAAGTTAAAAGGGGTGATAAATATACAGTAGCTGTCCCCTGCACCCCCTCTTCAAATGTCTTAAAACAAGCACATCAGAAAGTCGGACTGGGTGGGGGAATCTTTGCCAATCTTCATTTGTCTTACTGAATTTGGGGGTTGTTTTATACTGCAGGCTGCAGTGTAGCACAGGTACCCACGCTAACCAGCCTGGTAAAAATTTAGTCTGTACTGAATGCTGGTGCTGTGGCTAACTTACCCTGTGCTGAGCTCTGGGTTGTAGCTAGACTGCTCCCAATACCCAGGCTAGCTAGTGTGGGTACCCAGTTTGTGCTATACTTCAGCATAAACCAAACCTCTTCCCACCAGACCAGTGAAGATACTTTGTTAAAGATATTTAATTATGGGAGAAGTGCCCATTCGTCTAAAGTAGCTGACAAACAAGATGTGAAAGTAAAACCACTTGGACACAATGGTAATGTTTCATCTTGATTTCTAGAGCTAGCTGGATACAGGAAATTAAAAAAACAAACCAACAAACAAAAAAAACACTTCTCCCATTTGACGTGGATCAGATGTCTCCATAAACTATCTAGAATTGGTCCAAAATCATTTCTCTCATTGTTCTGTATTTGATTGGCAAGCCAAATAAAGTTAGTTATTTGGGCAAATAAATCACTGTCCTCAGGCAGAAAGGTAGTGAGTCCTTTACTTCCTTCAGAAGTCATACTAAAGATCCTCAGCATTAGTGTGCATCTTACAAAAGAGGATTATGAACTTAAATTGCTCTTTTCTATGTGGGGCAGTTAAGATCAAGCCAAATTTTAATTTGTTTTATATACTTACAGGGTTCTGGTTTCATTGTACTGCCTTCAATATTTTGAACCAGGGAAAGCTTGTATTGGGGAATGGTAGCCTTTCAGGGATATGATTCCAAGTTTTTTAGCATATGATATCTTAATTATAACTTTCATATTATCTTCTCCACTTAGGTTATTTCTGACAGTGTAGATTATGCACATGCTTTGGCTTTTTAAAGAACATAGATTATGCAAAGCTATTCTTAGCTATTATGTGCAGATTTAAAGAGTAATATAGAAATATTTGGAAGGAGTGCTTACATTTGTTCTAAAGTAGCTTTTATGAGCGAGACTGAAAGATGCTTAAAATGTTTAAAATACAACTACTTAAAAATATGGAGAGTTTAATAAGAAGTAGGAATTATACCAGGTAAACAATCGAACATCCTGTCCGTAGATCAAGTGTTAAATAACCTGTAACTGCATGGGAGGGAGTGTGACCTGGACATTATTTGTACAAAACAATCAACATTTCTACAAGACAAGGCAATTCACAGAAAAAAAAAGTTACTAATAGCTGCAACTGGAAAGTCAGAGGCTACTCCAAAATCATTTACCATTTATAAGGTATGAGGAAAAGGTACCATTCATAATGCTTTTATAATGTTACCATTTATAAAAGCATCTTCAACAGCCAGAAATCATAAGCTGGACCAAATGGTCGGGCAAGAGAAGCAGATGTTTTATTTCCTTTGGGAAAAAGTATTGCATTTAGCAAAAGATAGTTTGAAAGATCGTTAGATTGTTAAGTGTGCACTATTTTCAATAGCTGTCTTGAGTTATTTTTTGTGTTGAGTGCAAATGGAGACATCTCTTGCTGGAAGCACAAGTAGTGTCTACTAGGGCTGTGCGAAGTTTCGGTTGCTGATTCGATTTGACGGAGACTCAACCGATTTGGTGGCTGAATCTCCAAATTGGGATCAGATCAGGAGACTCTTTAATCTCTCCAAATCAAATCAGAACCCTCAGAATCGACTGAGAGAGATTCAAAAAGATTTGACAATTCGAACATAGACACAGCTTTAAATGTTTTTTCTACATACCTCTAGGTAGCAGTCAGCTCATGAGTGCTGTGATGCTGGAGCTTATGGAGTATCCCACAGAAGCATGGAGGGGCTCCCCAGCGCACTCAGCAGCAGACCCGGAAGTGGACCAGAAGTACTTCCCTCCAGCTCGGCGACTCGTGCCTCCTGGGTCTGGGGGAGCACCTGGGGTCCCCCCACACCTGATCGCTGAGCTGTGGGGGGACTGTCCAGTGTGCTTAGCGGTGAACCCAGAAGTGGACCGGAAGTACTTCTGGTCCACTTCTTGGTTCACCGATAAGCACGCAGGGAGCCCTCCCGTGCTCCTGCGGGATGTTCCACCCACCCCACCATCCTGGTGTTCACAAGCTGCACCTGGTACTTCGAGGTATATAGAAAAAACATTTGAAGCTGTGTCTATATCCAAATCACTGATTCTCTGAATCAGCATCGAATCTTCAGATTCGGACTCAGCCGAATTGATTCAGGGACAGTGACCCAAATCAACAAATTGAATCACTGTCCCCGATTCAAATCGAATACGGCCCATTTTGCACACCCCTAGTGTCTACCACTAAGTTATATGAACAAACTGAGCATATCACTTAAATCTGTACCATCTCTTTACTAGCTTCTTGAAAACAACAGGAAATTGTCAATGAAGAGGCCTTCTGAACATAAAAAGGCTTCCAATGTGTCCTGTAGAAGGACAGCTTGATTAAGCATTGGCAATTTTCTTTCATCATCAAGATTTAAAGGCTGTCACAATGTTAAATGTCCTGCAAAGGAAAAATGTGAGGTTCTTAGTTTAAAATAAATGAAAAAACCCTAAAGACATTACATTAATTTTTCCCTGCTATTTTATCTTACTATTAATAATTAGGGTCTGGCCTACCTTAGGAAACCTGTGAAATTAAGACTTAGAAATCAAACCAAAAGCCAATAATTGAGAAGAACAAACTCCACTCCTTCAAGCTTTTCTTATCCATAATTCTATCTCATCTCATCATGTAAAGTAAAATATCTCCTTCAGTTTCTTTTACTAGTAACCTAGCTGGACTGGTGAAAGTGGCTAGTGGCACTAAATCACAAAAAAACAAAACCTGATGAAATCCCTCAGTTGTAAAACAGGTGATTTCAGAATGGGAGCTTATTAAAGTGACAGCATTAACAGTACTAGGTGACCATTTATCTCGGCATGAAAAACAGGACCTGCCTTGACCATAGCTGCTTGCTGAAGTTTTCATCATGTTCCACCTACAGTGCAGTCAGATCTTTTCAATGGGGAATATTGTTACTAACCAATGAACAAGTCTGACTGCTGAGAATAATATAACCTGATCTATTCATCACAGCAAATTAAGTCAATGGGAACTAAATTGTTGACTTCAATTAGAGGGAACTGAGGGTAGTACTCAATCTATATGGACATATGCCACAACAATCCCTACTCATCTACTAACTTTCTAAATTAAGTTTTAAAAAAGCTCAATACATTGAATAACAAGGTAAGTAAAAAGCTTGCTGCTGGTCTTAAACTGCCTCTTCTTGGGTGGTATCATGGCTTCTTGTTCTATGTGATGTCACTTTAAGCTCTTTATTGTCAAATACTAGGTCACACATGAGACAATATCCAAATATAAATAATGCAGTAATAATTTCAATCCGTTCTAGACTAGAGGTATCAGCACTCCACAGGCTAAACAACTTCATGTTCTTTTAAGAGTCCTATGCAAAATGTGTATTTCTCTACTTGCTAGTATTTAGTTCTTTTGTATCCTCTTTACACATTTATTGCTGTTCCTTTTTTAGTAGCTCAGCTTTAGATGCCTCTCCCTTTTTCTATAGAATATGCTGAGCACAGATGGATTAACTGCAGTACAGGGCCAACCTTTTTGGCAGGTGTGCCACAAATTAAGCCCTGCGCCCTCCCTGACTGCCACACCAATTCCCTTTCCCTGCTGGTCTGTTCCTGCCTTTCTGCCTTGTGCTGCCTGCTTCCTCCCCAGCCTGCAACCTGCCCCACACCCACAGGCTGCCCACCCCTGATTAACTGGATCATACTGGATATGAATGAGTCTTCATGAATCCCATGGCATATGCCATTGAAACTGAAACTTGTAGACTGTGTAAGGTCTTGCACTCAGAGCCAACTCAGCCCCCACTTTTTTTCTTAAGTGGCCATTGTCTTCTTGTCTCGTCTCAAAGAAGCTCTTTTGCTATCCTATCCCTTGTGTGTCTATGCATATTCAGCTTGTTCTCACTTAGGACAGAACAATCCCATGCACCTGTACAGGCCGGGAACCAACTGGCTGAGCAGCAGCTCTGCAGAAAAGGACCTGGGGGTTACAGTGGACAAGAAGCTGAATATAAGCCAACTGCGTGCCTTTGTTGCCAAGGTGACTAGCAGCATCCTGAGCTGCATTAGTACAAGCATTACTGGCAGATCAGGGGAAGTGATTATTTCCCTCTATTTGGCCTTGTCTGGAGTACTGCATCCAGTTTTGCACCCCCTACTACAGAAAGGATGTGAACAAGTTGGGGAGAGTCCAGCAGAGGGCAATGAAAATAGGAGGCTAGGGCATAGATTTCTGAGGAGAGGCTGACTTATTTAGCCTGGAGAAAAGACAGAGGAGATTTGATAGCAGCCTTCAACTACCTAAAATGTGGTTCCACCGAGGATGGAGCTAGACTGTTCTCAGTGGTGGCACATGACAGTTTCAAGTTGCAGCAAGGGAAGCTTAGGTTAGATGCAAGGAAAAACTCTCAAAAAGGACACTAGTAAAGCCCTGGAGCAGGCTACCCGAAGGGAATGTGGAATCTTCATCTTCGGAGGTTTTTAGGACCCACATAGACAAAGCCTTGGCTGGGACGATGTAGTTGGGGATAGTCATGCTTTGAGCCAGGGGTTGGACTGAGATCCTTTCCAACCCTAATATTCTATGATTCTTTCCTCCCTCCCCAGAAGAGTTTAAATACACCTAATGAAGGCCTGTGTTATTACAGGTAGTTAGAAAACTTTCTTGTGTGCTTTATCACCTATGACATACCTTCTGCTCTGGTGAAATCAGGAACTAAATCACTGGTTTCATTTGGAACTGATAGTGCTCAGTCTTTCTATATGGACAGATGCCTCTGTATGGAACGTACCTTTTGCCCTGGTAAAATCAGCATTGTGGTAATCAGCAGCTGATGCTGTTGGTTTGAGTTACTGACTGCAGTGAACAAATGTGCATACTTCCAGGGTATAACTCTTCAAACTTTCTGCCCAGTCATTCCCAGACTCCTTTCTAATTTTGGGGGGGTTAAGGAAGACTGCATGGCCAACAGCTGCTTTCACTTTTTCTATTGTGCAGATAAACCCATGACATACACAGGATACTTGCAAACGAAAAAAATACTGCTCTACTCTTAAAAGGTGCAATAGTAATTATAACATATACCATTCCCTTTTATAATGCATTCTGCAAGGGGTTCTCAATGTGCTTTACAATCACTATTTAAGTCAGGGGCCTCCTGCAAGGGTTGGAAGGCAGGCTCCTCACTTGAATGGTATTTTATGAACGTTTCCAGACATGATTTTCTGCTACATTTTCCAGAATTATTTTTCAGCATTTCTGCATTATGAGGAAATGCCATGATATCAAAGGTACTTTGTTTCAAGTTTCCTAACAACTGGAAAATGCCATTGGAAATAACAATTTCGACTTCATTAGCAATAGCAAGTGAAAATAAAGTTAATGTCTCAGGTTATCATCACTAAAAGAGCAGAAGACAGGAGTACCTGTTTCTTTTTCAGTTAAATTACTTTCATGACAACAGTTGCAAGCTTACTTGTGTGACTACAGTTTCTCTATTAAAACCAGTCAGTTATTTTTCTCTTTCCATATAAATAGCAGGGAAACTTTTTAAAAAATAGGAAAGTGTGATCAGAAAGCCAGCAACCACCTGGAAAAGTAAGAGACAAATAAAGTATCTAAAACTACTCGACTCATTACTGACTAGATTTCTAGTTTATGGTGTCCCTCTTAGCCAGAAATGGGATTTAGTTTTTGGTCTCTACCTGTCGGCAAGCAAATAAAACTGGGCCTGTGGCCAATCCAAGCTTGAGATCTGCTGCTGTTGGCTTCCCCATCTGGTCAGCACACGATGTAAAATCCAGCACATCATCTATTAGCTGAATAAAAAGATACATACAGGTTAAATTAAACACACTAAAAAGGCCAAATAGATGTATTTAAATTGTTACATCTAATTAGAAGAGGATTTAAATAAACGATTGCAGGAATCCAGTTTGGTTTCAAATGCGGTTGTAAGAAGCAGGGGTGTAGGTTTTAGCCGTGTTGGTCTAAGGACATGGGCAGACAAGGTTCCTTGGGTGAATTTGATATCTTTTATTAGACCAACCCAAATAGTTGGAGAATAGTTATTAAGCAAGCTTTCGGGTTCAAAAACCCTTCGTCAGGCTAAGGAAGTTTCAGCAGTTGGTGTGTGCTCTTCCTGGATGGAATGAAGCATGTAAGAAGCATGCATTTTAGACTCTCCATTAGTTCAGTAGAAGCAAAGGAGGGAGTACGTTACCTGAAAAGCTATGCCAACATTTTTTCCATATTGATATGCAATCTCATGAACTTTTGGATCAGGGCAGCCCAGAATGGAAACCTGGAAAGAAGAATAAAAAAAAAAAAGGCTCTACTTAACATTCACTTTCAATATACCCAATTATATTTGAGATGTAGCAAGCATGTAGGCAGTAAATGTCTGGGAAGAGAAAAGCCACATCAGCAACATTCCTGAGTATTTATTCCTGTGTATGCATATAGCTTCACAAATAAACTAAACTCATTAGAAAATAAGACCCAAAAGAAATGCAGCATTAAAAATATATTAAATTCTTAGCCAGCGATTCTCAGTCTTTCTAGACTTACAGCACCCCTCAAAGTCCCAGTTCATAGCTTTCACTTGTTTCTTGACTACAGAAAAATGCTGGAGCAATTCTTCTGTTGCAAAGCACTCAAGGACCACAACCACAACAAATCAGAATATTTTTTTACAATATGGATTCCTATGTGAAATCTTTCAGTTTATCTTGTGAATCGCATGTAGGTGTTTGTACACCTAAGAGAGTGCTAATACTGTACAGCACCCTTCAAAAGATCTCATAGTATCTCAGGGTACCATGGCATCCTGGCTGAGAATCAGTGCACTAGACCAAAGCAACACTTACGAACAAACAATAAGGAAGCTTGAAGCAGGAGAAGTATCTGAGCTGCAGCTGCAATAAGGGAAGTGGTTCTCTGTTTAAGAGTATAAGGCAACACCCCCCCCAACATACAAACTCTTAGTAGAATACCATATAGTATTTCTGAAGGGACAGAAAAATGAACTACGTTGCTATAACACCTTTGTCTTCATCAACTTCATATTAATTAAAGAGGAGGTACTTGTTTGGAATATGACAGTGGGGTGTGCCAAAGTGTAAGATTGAATAAATACTGCTAAAATGTTGTACACTTGCTTAGAGACTGATTGGTGCCACTTGGTACTCTAATTATTTCCAGGTCAACAAAGCACAACTAAGGAGAGGAGAGAAATCCATCCTACCTTCCTACAGGGAGACTAAAACTGCTGTGACTTGAAGCGGAAGAGAGAAAAGTAGAGACAGTTAAGAGACATTCTAACTTGTCTTGCATTTTCACTCTTACAATGAGATCAGAGGAGAACATAAGAAAGTATGTGCCACACTGGGCCAGACCAATGGTCCATCTAGCCCAGTATCCTGTCTTCAACAGTGGCACAAGCGGATGCTATAGAGGGAGAGCATTGAACTGGATCTCTCTAGAGCAGAGGCAGGCAAACTACAGCCTGGGATGGTTGCCCAGGGCACTGACCTCCTCACCAAGCCCCTGCTGAAAAACCCACAGCTGGCAGTGCTGGAGATGGAGGTGCCCTTAGTGCATCAGAGGATGATCCTGGCCCACAACACTTGTGTTGGACTATGCTAGGCAGGGCTGGGTGGATCCCTCTGCACTGGCCCAGCACATGGAGCTACCCAGGCTGCATGCTCCCTGCTGCATACTCCAGGAGGTAAAGGCTGCCCTGCCACCCACTGCCCTCACCTACATTGACCAGGTCCTGCGCCAGGGCAGTCCCTGCCCCCGGTGTCCCCAGAGCTCATTGTGGGGCCTCTGCCTCGGCAGGCCCCACAGCGCTCCCTGCCCCACCACCTCAGCAGGCAGGGGGACACCAAAATGTTCCACTTCTGAACAGCCCACCACCTCCAGCGCTACACGCTTATGCTCCACAGTCCATCACCCTGTCCTCATGGCCTGCCCTGACAACAAGTGGTGGGACACACTAGCTGAGGGTGGGGGAAGAGTCCCTGGTGGACTAGCTTGTATTCCACCTTGATCCCATGAGCCACTGGGGACCTCAGTTGGTGGCTCCTCCACGGGGCCATCTCCACGGGTGTATCTTGTGCGCTTATAGACACCTTCAACACCTGCCTTTTGCCCCCAGAGGGAGACTCTGGCGCACAGCTACCTCAAGTGCGCCAGATTGCAGCCCCTCTTCTGCCTCCTCCAGAACCTCCTGCTGAGGTTGTCTGCCCTTCTCCCTGCACCTTTTCTTTTATGGACTCCCTGTCCATTGCTCCACCAAGTCTTGAGACCTCCGAGTCAACCTCCTCATGGCTTTGGCCAAACTGGCCATCTATAAGACCAGAAAGGAGGCTCTGGCTGGAAGGACCCTGGGTGAGTATGGGGCTGCTTTCCTGGCACTGCTCCACTCACGTATCCAGATGGAGTTTCATTGATTGGCATCCACAGGCTCCCTCGACTCCTTCAGGGGACAGTGTGCGTTGGCCACTGTGCTCTGTTCAGTGTCCCCGTCCGATGACCTAGTTATTAATCTATAACCCTAGTCCTGTTTCTGTTTTCTTTTATTATTGTCCCAAGCAATTAGTTGGTATGTCTCCAGCAGCCTCCCTTAGTAAGGGAGGCTTATAGTTTTTCTGTGATGGGCTAAGGCCCATGACATCAAGGCATATCAAATAGGCCTGTCTTTAAGGGGTAGAAGTCAGCGCTACAGAGGGAGAGCACTAAACTGGATCTCTCAAGAGCAAAGATAAGCAAAACACAGCCTGTGGGCCAGATCTGGCCTGCCAGGCCATTCTATCCAGCCCGTGAGACCCCTCTAAAACTTAGACAATTATTACCTGACGAGGCACCGGTGACAGGAGCTGCTGGCTGCAGGAGCTGCCAGCTGCAGTACCAAGCAACTCAGGCTCTGGTTATGGCATGACCAACTCCAAACCCAACCTGACCTGCCCTGCCATGCCCCCACCCCCAGGCTAGCAGAGGTTTTCCCTAGCGCCCTGTGGCTGTTCCCCAGTCCTCCCTCCGTTTGAGAGTGGAAATTCAGGTAAGAATGGGCTGGGAGGGGCAGGGCGTGGACCGCTGGCAATGGCTCCACTCTGTGGGGCTTGCGGGACTCTGGCTCCATGCCTCCACATGCCACTCCTGGCTAGAAGTTCCAGGAACACCACATGGAGGCATGGAACCAGCCCAGCCTGATGGTGTGGGACTTCCCATGGCTGCTGGCACTAGCTCGCCCCCCTGGCCAGGCTGGCTCCGTGCTGCGCCGTGTGGGTCCCAGCTATCCAGCTGGAAACACATTCTGCTGGTCCCATGCCGCACCAAGTAGGTTCACGTGTCACGTGGAATCATGTGCCAAAGCCAGGCTAGGCTGGCTCTGTGCTTCAACATGTAGGTCCTGGCCTTGCAGCTAGGAACTGCGTGCTCCCAAGACGGGCCGGCTCCATGCGCCATATGGGTCCTGGCTGCATGTTGCAGCTGGGACAGGACCCACATGGTGCAGCATAGCGCCGGCCTGGTAGAACGTGGTTCCTGGCTGCAAGGCCAGGACCCGCATGGCACAGCACAAAGCCAGCCCCACCTGTTCCGTCCTGGCTGTGGTGCACAGTTCCCAGCTACAAGGTCAGAACCTACATAGTATGGCACAGAGCTGGGCCAACCTGGCCAGTCCCATCCCAGTAGCATGCGGTTCCCAGCTGCAAGGCTGGGACCTGCACGGTGTGGCATGGGGCTAGCCCGGTCTGGCCCTGGAGAATGCAGTTTCAGCTGCGTGGCTGGGACTAACAGAACTGGAGTCGCGTTGTGCCAGGATGGGCCAGGCTGGCGGCAGGCTGTGCCACATGGGTCCTGGCCTTGCAGCCAGAAACTGCATGCTGAAGCCAGGACGGGATGAATGGGGCTGGCTCCTCACCTTCCACTATACCCCCAATATACCCAGACCCTCCACACACAACTCCCACCCTCCCACCATAATCCCCCTCACACCCGCTCCCACGCCCACCATATCCACACACCCCCCCCCCCCCCCGCCCACCATATCCACATAAATACCAACCCCCTCCTGTCCTCTCCACCATACCCCCAAACACACCCACTCCCTCTCACAGCCCCCAACACACACCCACCCTAAATGCACGTCCCAGACCTGCTTTCCAACCACACAGCCCCCACATACACCCCCCCGTATCTCCCCAATATACAAGAGTAAGAGAGTATTTTGAGCTATTATGCAATTGCCTCTAGATACACTACACAAACACACACAAAATTGGGACAAAAATATTTTGAAAAATAACATTAAAATAAGTTATAGTATTTAGTCTATGATTTGTTTTTTTTCTAGTTTCAAGATGGCAAAGTCCCCTCCCAAAAGAAAAAATTGTGGGGCAAGGGGAGGGACTTCTGGCAGCAAAGGTCAGGGATTGGACTTCTAGTTCCAAGATAGCGACCAGGGGAGGGGCACTTGAGGCCCTTAGCAGCTCACCAAAAACTCGTTAAGTGGCCCTCCAGCCAAAATAATTGCCCAATCCTGCTCTAGAGTAATCTACCCGCTATTCATTAAACTCCCTGGCAGCCACCATTATTGGTTTAGAGATGCCAGAGGAAACATCTCCAACCATTCTGTTAAATAGCCATTAATAAATCTTATAAGAACATAGGAACAGACTGAAAGCACTCAATATTAAGACAAAATTGTCCTTCCTAGAAGACATAAAGCCTGTTGCTGGATCATTAACGCACACAGAATTTAGAAGCCTTAACAGGGAAGCACAAAGATGCAAAGAGAAACTGCATAGAGTTACTTCCAATAAATTATTGAAGCATGTTACTGAAGAATATCTCCAAATATGGTGCAAATAATGTTTGAAGCAAAGAGTAAAGAACTTCTCACACTATAATTTCTAACTATGTGGCAGTAGTCCCCTCCCCCAGAAATCTTTCTAGAAATCTAAAAAGTCATACGAGAATCTGGGTACCTTTCTGATTGCTACACAATGCCTCATATTATCTCACTCTTGAAAAGGGGAGGATATGCAAAAGAACATTTTGCTACTTCATTTGACTTTAACCAGGCAACATTCTGGAGACAATCGAGGGTTGGGGAAATTGAGTAAACAAGGGATTTAAATGAGAAACAGCACAGAGCATCAAAGAATCACTCAGTCTTTTATCTTCTTTAAAGACGTGTCATTTTAAGATAGCAAACTCTTCAGGGTGAGCGTTAGTCTTTTCCCGTCTCTGTACAATGCTTAGCCAACTGTGGTTGCTTTTGCAATACAAATAAAATAAGATCAGTATGGCATGAGAAACTTATGCCTCCTAACACTTTAACAGGTTTTGTCGACTTGTTTTTATTTTGGTAATTTAAATGGTTACTAGTAAAAATTCTTCATAAATTGGTTATAGTCAAGGCTGTAATGTCATTTTAACTTTTCTACTGACCTTTGTGTTGATGATTTATATTGCATTCAGCTCTGGGTGAATATAATCCTGTGTATTATTTTACTATTTATAAAGTACTTCAAGGTTCATTTACTATGTTGTATGTTAATCCTTCTTCCATTGGAAGTAGGTTACCAAAAGGAAATGCCTTTAGGAATTACCTTTATATGAATAAGGGGATTTATCAAACAGTCTGTAATCATGTCTGATGCAGTGATAGCTCTATTACAGGGGTGGGCAAAATGTGGCCCGGGGGCCGGATGCAGCCCACGGGGCCCCTAAGAAATTTAGAGAATTAATATTAATCTGCCCTGGGATGCCTGTCGTGCGGCCCTTGATGGCTTGCCGAAACTCAGTAAGTGGCCCTCTGCCCAAAATAATTGCCTGCCCCTGCTCTATTACCTTGCATTTGTAATTTGACTTTACAATTTATTGATAATACACATACCACGACACGGACCCTTACCCCCTCCCAATCACGTGTTATTAGTTTCTGACAGACCAAAAAGGGTTTAACCTTTTTAGGGCCATGCAGAAAAATAACAGTTGTGCGTGTACCCGAGACAACGAAAATGTAAACATTAAATCTAGAGCCAATGACAACATGCAAAGGTTCAATCACGCTTCCTAGGGCAGACCCATCAATCACTACTCAGTTCAATCACTACTCAGTTCAATCACGCTTCCTAGGGCAGACCCATCTATCCAGAGAGAGCCCTAATGTGGCCATGGGATTGAAGACAAGTGCAGCAATTGTTGTGTACAGATCAACTTGGGGGTTCAGGCCCAAGTTGGTGAAAAACTGAAGCCCCTATGAGATGCAGCAGGAA